GGCCTATAGTGATGTTGGCGGCATTGCAATGAGGTGAATAGAAGTACGGAGGACCATTAAGAAAAACTTTTCAATAAAATGGTGGATTGTGACTGATTGAAAGGTGAATGAAATAAAACCAGATTGTAACTGATTGAAGGGTGAATGAAACAGGACTATTAACAAGGGAATACAAGGGAATGAAGGGAAGGATACAAGTGAGAAAAAGAAGAGATTGTAGGGGTGCCTGGGTGGCTCAGTCGGTTAAGCATCTGACTTCGGCTCAGGTCATGATCTCTCGGTCCGTGAGTTCGAGCCCCATGTTGGATTCTGTGCTGATGGCTCAGAGCCTGGACCCTGCCTCAGATTCTGTGTCTCCCTCTCTCTGGCCCTCCCCTGTTCATGCTCTGTCTCTGTCTCAAAAATAAACATTAAAAAAAATTTTTTTAAAAAGAAGAGATTGTAAAGCAAGGTAAAGAAGGAAATTAAAAATTTTAAGTTTGGGGGAAAGCAGCATGCTTGAAAAGAGGACTGGCATGGATGGGTCCTAGAAAAGAGAAGAATGGGGGAGGGGCAGGCCTTGGAAAGAATAAAAGCACACTCTCCTTACTCATTCTCTCTCCTCCACTCCCATCCTGGTCCCGTCATTCAGTCTGAGAAAGAGGACAAGAGAATAACTGGGAAATAAGAGTGAAAATCCTTTTTAGTTCCGAAGACCCGATCTCCATTGTCATCCCACCCCAATCTCTTTCTCTACACACCCATGAAAACACATACACCTATACGTGTATATATCCTTTCCCTAGCACATATACAATTATATGCATATGTGCTCTTCAGCATTAATTAGCACCTTCCATATTTCATAAATTCTCATAATTAGCATCTTCCATATTTACTCAAGCTAAAATTATGAAAATGTGTAACTATCGACATGCAACACTGTACCTAATGACCAATCCTTGATTGTTGCAGATAATGGGAAAAAGTGATCATGACATTTTGGGGGGGGAAAAAGGGGGGAAAATTTAAAACTATTTTCATCCCAGAGCTTATCATCCCCTTTTAGCAGAGTGGTTATCATGTGTTTTATCAAATGATTTGACTGTCATTTATTTCCTACACTTAGGAGGGGTAAGGGTGCTGATCCCCAGGGGAGTAAAAAGGTTTAAAAGGCAATCAGTTGGAAGGAATGAAGTAAAATGTATCCTGGATGATTCAAAAACTGGCCATTTCATCTCTGAATGAGTCAAGAGGTGGTTTTACATTAAGGAATTAGAAGCGTCATTTCCAACTTGTGATTTCTACAAATACTGGCTTCTACCCAAGCTGAATTTATAAGCAGATAAAGAAAGCCAGAATTAAATGGAGGCCTGGGGGGAACATCACCTATTCTGAATCGCTTCCAAATTTCAGTAGCATAACAAAATGTTGGTTGAGACACAGCCGATTTTTAACCTCTGTGCACTGGTAAGATACTAGCCAGAAAAACTCAGAATTATGCTAGAAGAACAAAACAGCCCATTAACAAAAGAGAAGTAAAGAAAGAACATATGTATATGCAAAGTTAAACATCACAGGATATTTTCTGAAATACTCTGGAACTTTAAAAAGCTAATATACAAAACATTTTAAATCTTCTTCATTTAAGTGTAGGTAAATCTATGTCCCAAGTGCCATTTGTATTTTTGAAAGAATACCAAGAGAAATAAGCTAGCATTAAAAGTACTTGTAAAACCAAGTATCTCCAATCTCTTCATCAAGTTTTTATGTAGCCCGATAACATAGAAGAGAAAATGTTTCTCACCAACCTCAATTACCAGAAACATACAACACTATTTGTGATAAACACTTCCGTTTCATAGAGGAAGCCAAATCTAATCTTAGGGAAAATGAGAGGTTATGGGAGGGAGAAGCTGGGGTTTTAGTATGGAAAAGGCTAGGCAGGAAACACTTGTCTCACTCTGCCCCCTACCAACGGACCACCAGGAACACCAACTACATATCCGGGAGTCTTGCTGCTTTTAAAGAGTTGTATCAAAAAGTTTTCACAAATCCCTGATTAAAATGTAAAGAGAATGAAGGAGATAGATAATTAAGTCACTGCATTCCAACCTCAAGAAAGCTCGGAAACCGCAATAAAGTTATAATTTGTCTATCCATCTTTCGGTAAGTCAGCCTGAAATGTGGCTTAAGACCATTTCAAAGAATGAGACACATCAACACAATTTACCATATAAATAAATCATAAGTGGTTCCAAGGCAGATACAGGCAGTGGGGGCTAATAGTAGCTAATAATGACTATACTTTTGAACAAGAGGGTGGGGTGAGGGGGCCAAGGAGTTACAACTGTTACCATGTAGACAAAACATGAGTTGTCTATCAGCTTTTCAAAATGTTGGCATGGGTCTCCTCTCTACACGATATTCATTCTCTATTGTGTTTGGGCCTAATTAAAAATTATTGTTACCAGGCCCTATGAGTGATTATCAAATACATTTTTATTTTAGGATTTTTTTTTCTAAAGAAGAGGAAGAAAGACTGTAGGTACTGTGGTTTATGGTGATCTGTCCCACATACTAGGTTTGGCCAAAAGTAGGAAGGTTGACATTCTATTCTCTCAGTCCTCTGGCTAGATTTTGAAATAGAACATACAGTTAAATATTTGCTCTCTATTCCAAACTGGATGCAATTGATTTTAACTGACTAAATTATCTAGTCTCTGCCAAGAATTTTATTTCATTAAGAAAATGATATTATAGAGCATCTGAGATCATAGAGCAGACTAAACATAATGCCAAAGGAGTTCTGAGAGTGCTCCACAGTGAAGGTTTGATTATTTGCAGATGGAATATGGAAGAAAAAATAAAAGCATCAGCTCGCAGGCATCAGTCTAACCAATCCCGGGATCTCGGCTGCCTGCACAGTAGCACAAAGCCGAAAAATAACTGATCTTCTAAGCCACAACACTTCTTTATTGGGGGGGGGGGG